CTTTCGGCTAGTCGTATTACCACTATGACACATTATTCCATTTTCTTAAGCCCCCCAAAAATAGTTCCATGATACATATTACTACCATGATTCCAATTCTTAAGCCCCCTACATTATTACCACCACGATACATATCCAGCACGTAGTGATAGATTCCCTTGACAACCCAACAAGGGAAAATGAGCCATAGTATTTTAGCAAAAATGGAAGTGATTGTTCATGTTAGCATGATGTTGTCAGCTGTGTTTGTGTTCTAAACTATCATTCATGTTGTTACATGTTGCTTCTATTGTGGGTGTTAAAGTAGGGCAAAGTAATCGCCAACAAAGCAGCTGTGTAATGGGCTTTGGCCGCAACAACCACCTTGCACCGCCTTACACACATTCTCCTCTGGTTGTGACTTTGTACATACCCTAGCAGAGACCCAACGGGAGAACAAGGGACCCAACGCACGGGTGAATTGCCAATTGGCCCTTCTGACCTCACCTGCGCAGCCCTGAACATACCATAAGTTCTTAAGACCTTGACTAAACTCAGTTGCCTAGGGGGTAGAAATAAAAGGTGATCCCCTTCTCACTCTGTGGATTGGCCAAACAAAAGTCCGAACTTTCTATTTACAACTAGAACGGTTTTCCCAAAAAGTATAAAGCCCAGGAATTCAGAACGCAAGCCTTTTAAGATCACTAAACACATACCAAGCGCAAACTAAAAGTCATTGCAGGTCGATTCGCATTGGGGAAGCGAGTAAAACATGGACCAAAACTTCCCATTTGCTTAATAAAGCCCCCAGGAAAAAAACAAAAAACACATATGTTTCCGGTAGTGATAGATTCCCTTTAAACCAAACAAGGGAAAAACAACACACATATATATATATACATAATATATATATATATATATATGTATATATATATATTCCTTTCAGCAAATAGAAGCAAAAGGCCGCTGACATGACATCCCTCGCGCCTCCTGGCGAGCCGATGCGGAGCTCTGGGGGCTGCCACCTCGCTCAGTTCGGTGTTACGTTCCTTGAGGGGACCCTCTCGTGGTGTGGCGTTAAAGGGAAACCCAACCAAGGCACCTTCCTGGTGTTCTGTGCTTTTTTGATGGGAAACCCGGGGAAAAGCCCATCATTTGGGTGGGTCGCCAGAAAACTTGTAAAATCCCCAAGGCACCTTCGGTTTTACTTGCTGGTGCGATATGGAATGTCCGAGTCCGGGTTTTGGGAATGAGCCTGAAGTTTCCCTTAGAGGAAGCCATAGGGGATTGTGTATAGGGGTCGTTCCCTCATTCCCCGCGGAGAACCAGCAAGTTTCAAGGGAAACTCAATGAATCCACAAGTTCACACACCCAGTTCAGCCTGGAGAGAAGGGGGTCCGTGCCCCTGAATACACCCAGGCGCCAACCCCCAGGTTCGCCCACCCCCAACAAGTAGCCAGCCACCATGAAAGAGACAGTGGGATGCCTTGACGACTGTCGCAGCCACCTGTATACAAACAAAAACAAGAATTGCTTGATCATTTAATCAAAAGAGATCAATTACTATCAACACACAATTCCTAGATTAATTATCATACAAAAGAAAAAGGACAAAAATGGAATACTGAAAAACGAGAAACACAAAGGCTATGGCTCTAGAGGTCGCTGATGCTCTGGCTTTGGTGTCAGGTAGGCTCGTCCAGAACTGACCGCGTCTTCTTGAAGCTCTTGTGCAGCCGTTACAACTTGCAGGTCAAGAACAGGACAACTTCGGGGTTTCGCGCGGAGTGCTGGAAAACCTTTTTCAGGGTTTCTGCTGGCCCCCAGACACCTCTTAGGGTTTTGTTGGGCCCACCAACACTGTCTTGGGGTTTCTGCTGGCGCCACCAACACCTTTTAGGGCTTATGTTGCCGCCACCGACGCCTTTTAGGGTTATGTGGGCCCCGCCGATACCTTTTAGGGTTTATGTTGGTGACACCAGCACCTTTCATGGTTTATGTTATGTTTGGCCTACCAACACTGTTTTTAAGGTTTATGCTGGCCCCACCAACGCTGTTTCAGCACTGTTTTAGGGTTTATGTGGGCCCCACCAACGCTGTTTTAGGGTTTATGTAAGGTTTATTCTGGCCCCACCAACACTGTTTTTAAGGTTTATGCTGGCCCCACCAACGCTGTTTTAGGGTTTATGTAAGGTTTATTCTGGCCCCACCAGCACTGTTTTAGGGTTTATGTGGGCCCCACCAACGCTGTTTTAGGGTTTATGTAAGGTTTATTCTGGCCCCACCGTCACTGTTTCAGGGTTTATGTGGGCCCAGCAAACACCGTTTTAGGGTTTATGTTGGCTCCCCACCCACACTTTCGAGCTGCAACCCTTTCACCACGCCTCTGGCGATTCCAGGCTCACCTGCGTGGGGAGCGCGTGTGAAAAAAAAGACTAACATGTATCTTTGTTGAGGCTTGGCAGCCGTTTTGGAGATGTTAAACTCCGTCCTGCTGGGCTCGGGAAGACAGGAATGAGATGCGAGCGTCCTACCACATCAAATTCAAGTCCACATCCAGGTCCTCCAGTAGAGAGGCTAGCATAAGGGTACCGTCTTTTTTCTGTAGTCCATTTTAGGGGAACCCTCCCCCCAAAAAAGAAACGATAAAAGGTAAAAGGGCACCAATTGCTGGGGCACCTAGACATGCTTCGGCTGCTCACCCCACCTTAGCCTTTCGGGCCATGGCCTAAGGCGCTGCGATTTTCAGCTTTAGCAGAGATCCGGATGCATTATACACCTGAACATTGCCTTGTAAATGGTGGTTTGAACCTTGATTTTGGTGTTGAACAAGCAACATGGTTCAAATGTTTGCAAAATGTATCTTTTAAGGAGCCCTGTTCAGACTTCACCGGTGCACAAATCCGTGGCGAGCGACCTGTGTCTCAACGGATCCAATCTAAAGCCGCACCTGTGGACTCATTTTGTGTTCGCACCCTTGGTATGAACCCCAATAGTTCAAGAACTAAGAAAACAACATTGAACTTTGAATTGATTGTTTTACTCACTTCCTGAGTAAAAAAAGGGCCCGCAAAAGGTTCAAACCTTTTGTTTACCACTAAAACGGTCTTCAAAAAGTAATAACAAGTTCAGGAACTGAGGCAGTAAGCTTATGGGAAACTGTCCAAAGGACCCCAAAGAGGGGGATCCAGGATCCATTCCTGCTGGCTGCATAGGTCTCAGCAAGCCTTGACTTGGTTGGCGTTGGGTTAGGGGAGCAAAAAATCTCAAATTTTAGCCGTTCAGTCGATTTGGATTTCAACCACTAAACCACAATAAGCAAAAATGTGAAATGTGTCCCAACAACAACCATGCCTTGTGCAGCTCGTTTCCTGACAGGAATCGTTTTTGTCCAGACAACCCCCTCAGCTTGCGTGCAAATTGAAACCATGGTTCCAAAAAAGGGCTAATAACCCGAATGAATGACAAACTTGCGGCTAAATCTGGCCCTTCTCGGTCGGAGGTGTCTTTGTTCGTGACAGTCGGTTGGAAACCATCAGTTCCGGCAAACATTTTACCAGGGTGTCCAAAATTAAACCACTACAAAACTGGGCGTAGTCCGGGTTTCCATTTAGTTCCACTTTGGGTACCAAACTTTGACCCACACCCAAATAGTGGGTCAGAGCAAAAAAACAAAAGCTCTCCTCTTGGGGTTCCTGGTGCAATGGGCGACCAATCCCTCCCAATACGCACGGAAGACCAGCTTCTTGGGACCTCAGAACGCTACTAAAACGGGTTTTCCCAACAAGTATAAATCCAGGGACTCAGGAAGCAACCCCTTAAAACTCCAAGCCCTGGGGAAGTGTTCATCTTTTACAGGCATATAGCCCATGTTACCCAAAAAGTTGAGAAACGTTGTGTTTTTAAGAGGTAAGAGTAAGTTCCGAAGCACCATCATCTCCTGGTAAGAAATGCTTGACACTATGAAACGCCTACAAATGGCTAACCTCTTACAATACACGAACCGCGACATCTCAGCACGCCAAGCAGAGCTTCACCAAGGAACGAAACAGCGTTCGTGGAAAATGACCCCTTCTATGATACAAGCACGGGTCGATCCCTTGACTTCTTCGTCCCTTTTTAGGGGACTCACTTCTCACGGAAGTAGACTAAACCGATGTTGCAAAACTACAGGGGTCACTGGAATTCCCCTTCAATAGTTGCCATTTACTGGTGGTTTCCATGGAAACCCTCAATTGTAGGTCCATATACTCCATCCCTTCATGAACCGGTGCCCCTGGTTTCGAGCCTTCTTGCAGAGAAACCGAAAATGCGTGCTTTGGACCGTGCAATCCCCCCTAGGAGGGTGGGGGGTCCGTGACCCTCTTCCATTGTTCTACTATTCCCCGCAAAAGGGATAATGGGTTGCCAAACCATTTTTCGAGTCTTCCAACCAAGCAGTGGCTCGAAATTCAAGAGCTAGGGGTACGCAGGTTTTGGTCCATGTTTCCACTTACCAGGGTTCCGTTTGGGTACCGGGTTTTTGAGCCAAACCCACCACAAAAGACGGAACCTGTGCTGCCGGAAAAACGGAGATCTCCCATCGAAATCTCCCCTCCCCCAAGCACCAATTGGTCAAGGGGGTGGTTTTTGGATGCCATCCGAGGCCAGCCCCAAGGGTTACCTGACACCAGCTGACAAGGAAAAAAGAACAAATGAACAACAACACCCTCCAAGCATTGCTTCCAATCAACAACAACACCTTACAACACCTCCCAACCCCCCCCCCCACGGTTTCCACTGAACCCATCCCATTTCCAGCGAAATGGGTGGACGTCTGTGCAGCTTCTGCTCTGAGGCTCGAACCGCCTCATCAAAGTCGTCGCGCGCGGCTACATTGGAGCCTGGGTGTACCACAGCAAGAGAAGCCATGGTGTGTGTGTGTGTGTGTGTGTCTTTCTTTGGTTGGGCGCCCCTTTTAAACTCTTTTGGAGTGGTTTCACTTTGGTTGGGTACCCTTTTGGGGGTGGCTTCAAAGGGAAACCCACAGTACAAAACCATAACTTGTTTGGGGGGGATCCCCTAGTACAAAACACAGCCCTCTGGTTGACAAGCAAGGAAGCCGCCTGCAAAAAAAGGAGAGGCTGTGAACAACTGCTGGGTTCCACGAACGTTACAAGTTTTGCCGGGCATGTGACCAGCGCCTTGGGGTGTGCATGCTGGGAACCGCCTGGCTAAGATCCCAAAACGCCAAGGCTCCGGCCGGTCAGCAAAAGGACACCTCGGATCAAGCTGCCGCTTGGTGGCCGTTTGGACAACCCCAATCAGTAAGGAGACTCTCCTTCGCCACAAAGGAACCCAGACTCTTGGCGGTTAAAGACAAACGGGAAATGACCACAGCCAGCACTTGCAACTGCGTTTTGGTTACCGGTACTTGTGATGTTGGACATGAAAAGGAACGTTAAAGGTGCTGGAGGAAGACGAAGACTGAGCGGAGGCGGTTCCACATCCTCTATCAGAATCAGGTGAGATCCCTTCAACCCACCCTCCTGCAGGGATACTAATAACCACCTGTGGGATGGTTGACGCATGGACATGCGACGGCGGACGGGGTGGGTACCCAAAGGCACACCAAAGGGAAACTGCCGATATGTGGCTAGGTCCTGCAGTAGAGGTTAGATAAGGGTACCCATTTTTTATTTTTTTTTATGTAGTCTATTTTAGTAGGGGAACCCTCCCGCAAAAACGGGTAAAAGGGCACTACTTGGGGACCTAGGTTGAATAGGACTGTCCTGCGACTGTCCCCAACACCACTCTCAACTTAAACCTGGACCCCCAGTGGCCATGGGAAGAACGGGCACGATTCTTTGGTAGTTCCTTGTAAGGGGGGAACCCTCTCCAACCAAGGAACAAGCGCACCACTGGTGTGTGTGTAGCTGGGACTGCAATCATAAGGCGAAAAGATTGATGAGTTTGCCAACTCAACGCGTCAACTGATACCTGCATACCTGGGTCAACTGATTGTGGCTGTCTGTTAGCTTAAAAACTACTAGTCCAGTGGTTGGAAGTGGCGCTAGTCCAGTGGCAGTACTTGGGGAATCCCCCCACAAAAAACCACAACCACGATTTGTAGAGGAACCCTCTTTCCAAAAAGAGCGAGCGCAAAGGATCCACCTGAATCAAGACTGCTTTGGGACAGTCCCTTACACTTAATGAACATGCCCTAAGGAAACCCCTTCCTCACTTCCGATCGAGTGGATTCACCAAACACGGCTTTCACACGTGCTGAACATGCTGAACATCCAGGCACACAAGCGGGTTTGACATCCTCAAAGGGGCAACATGGTGGGCAACATGGGCGTGCCTTCAAAAAGATGAACCCACCAATTTGGAATCCAAAAGGTGGCCAAAGTGCAGGAACACCAGTGTTGACATCCGCAAAGGGGAACCCCCATTGGTTTCCTGTTGAAGTGCCTTCAAAACGATCAACCGGAAAACATATGCTACCCTCAAAACAAAAAGCCCCCCCCCCCCAACTGAAGCTCCAAATCAAAACCGATCAGTAAGAGGATGGCCGATCCCAGCACCACGTCAGGAATCCCAACGGCGGCACGCTGCACCCAGTTTTGGTTGGGAGTCTCCCTTACTCACTTCCGATCGAGCGGATTGGCAACAAAAGGTAATGAGACTTTTTATTTACCAAATGGCTGTGGGTCAAACCCTGTACCCCTCATGAACAGCAAAATAGGTGGCAAACGGATGTTCGTCCACCACAAAATGGGATCGCCATAAGTTATGCCTGGCCAAATCATCCAAACTCCTAAAGTTCGAAATTCAACTCAGGGAGTGAGCTTACTTAAAGCGGGCGATCGGGGACTTGGTAGGTGGTTAGCAACCATGGTTATAACTCCCACTGAAGCCATGGTTGGTCTCCGTGTGGAGTCTCCGTGTGGGTTCTAACCATACCAAGTCCCCGATCGCCCTACCCAACTCAGTTTCGACTCGCTCTCCCAGGTCTCCCAGCACACCAGGCACGAGCGGAAGCCCATGCCGTCCGACGTTCGCCGGACCGCTTCATTAGCTCACAAGAAATCCGCGGAAAAGAAGCGGCCGAGAGGTCAAAAGAAGCTCCTCCATTTGCTTGCGACAGATCGCCCCCTGGAAGAAATGGGAAGAATATGTCCAGTGGTGAAATCGATTCCGACTCGAAAACCAACAAGGGAACGTATTCACTTCGGTTGAACCCATCTACTTTTCCTTCTTGGAAGTTGCTTGGATGAACGTCACTGGTCCCTTCTTGTACAAGGATGTTGCATTGGCTAAACATATGACGGCTCCTAGTGTCGACTTGCTGTATGCTTTCAAAGTTTGCCAAACTTGTCTCAAAGGGCAAAAGGGAAATGGATTGAAAGACCCGGGCTGAACCACCCACAAATGCCAAGGGCTTGGTGAATGCATTCAGCAACCCAAGCTTGGAAAGGTTTCCATCTTTCAGGATTGCCTTTTGTTTGACAACGAAAAGGTCCATGTCCATGTTGCTTCCCATAGGGTGGCTCTAGGGGTACCTTCCATTTCCATTTCCAGGGCTAGGAAACCTCCGGAAACCCCACGGAAAACGGATCCGGCTTTTGGACAGAACGATGGAACTCCCTTCGCAGTCGCCAGCAGGTTGTTGTGGTTTTGATGGGAAACAAGGAAATTCCAGCTCTTTTGGGGTGGTCATCCCCTCTGTCTTAACGTGGAGGAGTGAGGGTCCCCAATTTCATTTGTTTAGTCTTACCTACAAAAGGGCAAAATGACATCATAAACACAATTCGAGGGGTCGAAATCCCCCTCTCCTCCAATTCCATTTGAGTCGAGATTTAATTTGGGACTGTTGTTTTCTTAGCTTGTGCTGATTTGCTTTTAGTCCTGGGCATTAACATGCTGTATCCATTCCATGTTCAAGGGGGTGGGGATGGCGTCCCCTACGTGGAAACAAACCAGAGTGCAACAAACGCGAAGGGAAGCTTGCCTTCCCATCTATGCCTTGTGGCCAGCCCGAATCTGCTCGCATTAGGGGGGACCCGTCGAATTTCAGCAAGCTCGCAAAGGAGAAATATGCGTTTAGCGTCCGAAAGGAACTCCTGGTTTGTATTTCAGTTGGGAACCCTTTAGTGGACATCACTAAGCTGGAGCTTGATGTCCAAAAGTTCGTGGGTCACGATCCGCATTTTCCAGCGGGCCGCGCGACGCGCTTTCTGTTTTCCTCCGCCGATGCTGTGCTCTAGGAGTTTCTCTGACGAAGCGCGGACTGGATCGGCAAGAGCCCATGGGCGCGTGGTATTGCGGGGTCTGGGCCAATCCAACAGATTTCCGCAAATCTTGCAATATGGGTGTGGCCCAAAATTTGAGAGCCAGGGTTAATTACGCTGGTTTTAGTCTTTGGTTATATTTACCGTTTGGTGCCATTTTGGGTGCTCTTTTTTGAGCCACAGCCATATGTCCACCTGAAACAAGGAATCCCCAAGAGGACATCTTTTGGCGTGGCTTTGCGCTCGTTTGCTCGCCATAAATTAGGCAGCAAAGATACCCTTTCCCCTTTGCTGATATTCAATAATTGTCTCTCCAGCAGCTTTATCATTGGTATGTGCATACGAGATTTCATACCATGTATCATTGTGTTTCATGACTTAAAGCGACATCACAGTCTCTTGCCTTGCAATACATATGCAAAGAAATCTATATATTTCAGCTACCACGCGCGAGAGAGAGAGAGAGAGATCCTCACGTTGCCATGGAACGTAACTGGGGATGCCACAAGGACCCTGTCTGATCTTCATGGTGATGGGAGCGGTACCAAGGTGTAACCAGCTGTTTGGCATGTGTGTGTATGAAACCATCGACCCTCAAAATAGTGTGTTTCCTGGCTTGCCTGAAAAACCACTCCAAACGGGTACCCTCCAAAAGAGACGTGCTCCAATGGTTGCCAACGTCCCGGTTGAAGATCGGGCAAGTGTCACTCCACAAGTCTTCCGGATCGAGGCCTTTACCAGTCCGAAGGCTTGTTCGACTAAATCGCGGCAGGCGCGGCATGCTCGCTGTGATCGCTCCAGTTCCCTCGGCAACTCTCAGTTGCCCCTTACGGACCCAAGGATACGAGGTGATCGCCTTTTGGGGCCATGACCAAATGGACCAACATGGGAAAACCAAAAGGTCAAAAGGGCGGCTTTGGACAACTGAGAACTATCTGCCACACGCGCAAGTGGGGTATGAGACTCACACTCTTTTCTGATCCTATCTTTGTCAATGTCACAAAACCATGGGAAGACCAAAAGGTCATTTCAGGTCGATTCGCTGGTTGCAACAAAAAGGTGTGTTTCTCCGGGCGCCGCCCGTTCCCAATCTCGGATTGGCTGGGTGGGGCCAGCCCAACAAAAAGAGGGACAACAGGACCCCAACTAGGTTCTCCAGTAGAGAGGTTAGAATAAGGGTACCCTTTTTCTGTAATTAGTCTATTTTAGTAGGGGATTCCCCAAAAAAAGGGTAAAATGCCACTATTGGGGGACCTAGCCAATCAATCCGTGCACCAACTCCCTGGAGAAAAAAGCGCATGAAACCTGCAGCAAGTCGACTGAGAGGCCATCGCTTTGCCCCCTATCAAGCTAGCCATGGTGTGTTGGCAAATGGAGTTCTTTGCGGGCGCCACGCATAAACGAACCAACAAACACAGGACATAAACAAGTGGGGGCCTGACCGCGTTTGGGACGCCCTTTGCTGCTTAGACTCCAAGCAATGACTGAGTCAGGAACAACACAGCCAACGTTGTCAGAGTTTCTCCACAGCCCTTGGCACAAGGGAAGAATGTTGGCCGGCAAAGGGAAACCTGAAGGCCCCGTGAGTCACTATTTTTGCTTCCACCCTTGGGCGCTCCTTTAGCTCGAATTCGGGGGGGTTGATCTCAGCTAAGCGCGCTTCCGATCCTGTGCATGGCCCAAAACAAGTTCTCAAGCTTGTTGTTTACTACAAAAAATGTCTTCCCAAAGAGTATAGGGGTCTGTGTTTTTTTTGTGGGTGCTTTTCTTTGCGGATGTAAAGCGACACCGAAAGGAACGCCGCAATCCATGCTGGCGGGTCTCGAAAACAAACACACACCCATAAAGCCACGAACTATTTGTCGCCCATTCGTTTTTTGCCATTTGCTTGAGCCCCTGCGAAACAAAAAAATAAAATAAAATGGGAAAACATATGTTTACCATTAAACAGATCCAAACCCCAAGAGTAGTCCAGGAACTCAGCTCGATTGCTGTTTGCTGCCCTGCTAAAAGTTTAACTTTTGGTGGTTTTAATACGGAAAACCCAGTTGGCAAAAAGCTAAAGTCAGGGAGTGAGCAGGCCCCATCGAATCCCGCAACTTCGGAGCGATCACTTCACGAGGCTTTCGGATCGAGCGATCCCATCGCTTCGAACTTCGCCGAGCGCGGAGCGGTTGCGATGGCTTACCTGCCAAGGTGAAGGCTTGGGTTTCCTGACAACTGGCCACCTGCCCTCGCAACCATGAAACACATGGGTTGTCTGCGAGAGTCTGCAAAAAAACCAGGTTTTAAGCATGGGAGTTTCCTAACATGGGACTTGGAGCCTCTTTTGGTTGGTATTTCAAGGGACGCCCTGCAGAAAACCAAGAGGAAGGGACGTTCCTTTTTTTCCGCAGCGCCTGCAGGCAAATCGGGCTTGCCAGCTCTTCTGTTACGCTGTGGACTTGACCGAACTGAACTGCAGACATCCAAGGCTGCAAAAAAACACAAAACTTTGTCGAAATCACCCCTCAAACGATCTTGGCCTAGCTGGCCCCCAAAATGATCGTGTTATAGTGCAACACTTCAGCTGCAGCAGACTGTACACATAAAACTAAATCTGGATCTTGCTTCATACCATCCAGGCTGACAAATTCAAGCAGCTTCCGCAAAGAACTTCTCCCACCCTTTGGGTCCCAGCTGATACTCCTCATCCGTCAACAATGCATTTTCAAGACGTGTTCGGAGCGCAACCTTGTCCAAATCTCGAGAGATGAAAACCAACTCCGTGCGCTTGTCTCCATAAGGCCTGTTCTTATACTTCTCCAGGTGAGGGGGCCATTGAGCGGGATCCACATTTCCATGCAACCAAGCACCAGCTTCTAGGCTCACAGCACCCCCAGCTTGCCCCCACACGAGAGCTGCATGATCACCTCCTGCAACCCAAAGCAAGCCTTTGGAGCGCAGCAAATCATCAAACCCCTCAGCCATGAGGTGATTCAGGCGATCTGGATGGAAGGGCTTGTCCGAACGGAAGACCAAACTCGAGATGTTGTATTCCTCTGTCTCAGGCACATGGTCACCTCGCAGCTCTTGTAGCCAGCCAGGCATTTTCTCAAGCTCATCAAAGTCGCACTTGTGGGTGTTCAATGCATGTTTCAAATCAATCTTGCCATAGCTGGATCGCACAAGTTCTGCTTTGGGGTTCATCTTCCTGAGCAAAGCTTCAAGCTGCACAATTTCTTCTTCTTGCAGTAGGTCCACCTTGTTCACCACAATGACATTTGCGCACTCCACCTGATCTGCAAGTAAAGTCGCGATGCTTCTTTGATCGCCATTCTCTGCGCCCAACTCGGGTCGGTCCACTAGCCTCTCAGTCGTCCCATACGTCTCAAAGAAGTTCTTGCCATCTACAACGGTCATCAGAGTGTCAAGCCGTGCGACTTTGCCAAGCATGGCCTTGCCTTCAATGTCAGCTACGAAGGTGGCCGCAACTGGCATTGGCTCTGAGATGCCGGTGCTTTCGATCAAAAGGTAGTCAAAGCGTTTCTCTTCAGCAAGCTTCGTGACATGTTCGATGAGGTCATCTCGCAATGTGCAACAAATGCAACCATTCTGCATCTCCACCATCTTGTCTTGCACTGTGAGCACCTTGTTGTCGTTGACGAGCATAGCATCGATGTTGACTTCAGCCATGTCATTGACAATCACAGCAACACGCAAGCCTTCTTGGTTGTGAAGCACATGAGTCAACAGGCTGGTCTTTCCAGCCCCCAGGAAGCCACTGAGAACCGTCACCGGCAAGAGGTTCTCGGCACCCATGAGCTATGGCGAGGTGTGCCACCAAAAAAGAAGCTATAACTTCGAACCTACTGAAATTCAAACATAGGTGCTGGGCCAAAACTGCTTGAGTCCGATGTTTCGGTCACCTGTGCGCATGCGATCACTATCAAATACAATTGTTTCTTGTTGGTGCTTACTTCTTACATCTTCTGAAAATACACATCAATATGAGTTATCAGTTATGATGCATCAACTCACATGTCCAAGATCATATGTATCATTATTAACATACTATGGGCATATAGGACGATTGTGAGCTTACGAGATAGGAGTTACCTTCTGCACCACTCCTAAGACATGTGTCAGAGGAAGAAAAAAACACAAAAACTGGTAGTTCGCAGGGCCCGCGAAATCTCCAGGACAAGAAACCATCATACAACTACTTACCCCTTAAAACTCCAAGCAACCTGGGGAAGTTTTCATCTTTTACAGACATATAGCCCATGTTACCCAAAAAGTTGAGAAAAGTTGTGTTTTTAAGAGGTAAGATTCTTTGGGGTGCCCCCCTCCAGGGGTGCCTTTTCCTTTGCGTTTCACAGGCACACCAACAAGCACACCTATTTTCTTGGTACAAGAATTGAGACTCATCCCAAGCGGCATTTCGCAAGTAACTCATACGTTTTCGGCTACCAGCAAAAACGAGGGAACTATTTGTGTTCAAGCAGGCAAAGTGTTCACCAGCCTGGGTCCCATCAACATGTCAACATCATATTTAAGCACATGAGTTAGGTAAGTTCTTGGCATCTTCCCGCAAATCCTATCTCATCTTCCCGACAAAAAGGCCCAAAAAACGGTGACAACTCCCAACTCATGTTTCGCCTTGCGCTCTGTATGATTTGTTTTATAGGATCCAGCACCTACCGACTTTTTACTGCACTTACCCAAGGTGGTTTCGGACCCCGACTGGCCGAGCCGCAGAAAAGAAATACTTTTCTTCACCAATTGTTTTGAAACAACGCAATTCCTAGCTCATGGGCTCTCTACTTTTTCGTGGTTGGAGAGCATGGGTTCTGGGGAAAAAGCAGCCATAATGTTACCAAACCAATAATCACCACGGTACCTCTGTTTTAAAAAAAATGGACTCCCCTGACCTTCCCCCCTATCTATAAACGTCCCGGGAAGGGGGGGGAGCAGGTCAGCTACAACGAAACTGTTGCTTTATTTTGCTGTAACAACATGAGAAACAACATGTCGGCCAAAACTTAGGTTTTCCAACAGGTCTGGAAATTGCAGGTTTGGACCCTGCAAGGGGGGGTACCCTTTCTGGACCGTTGGTTTTCTTTTATTATTATGCTTTTTGATGAAGAAACAAGTGAAGAAATGAGCTGTATTGAACTGGGTCAGATTCTTGGAAATCTGGCATTTTGTAAAAATAATAAGGAATTATTCTTTCCCCTAATTGCCAGTTGTAGGGAAGTAGGGATTGCTGTTATCCCAATTAAAAGTAGTGGAAAGTAGTACGGTCTCCATTAAATTTAGTAAAAGAAACAAATCACATCCTCCAAGATAGTTGGCACTATCGGGTGTATTTTTCCAATTTTTGAGGACCACCGATTTTCAAGGTTTGTAACTCGTAATTAACTCTTCAAGTGCAGTCAATTGATTAGTTTAGCGTTGAACAGTATCGGGTTTGGCAAACCCTTGACGCTGGGAAGGAGTTACTATTGGTTGCGACGCATTACTGCTTGCAACTCCTAACTCACAGGGTCTGCGCTAACCCAAGGCGGTTTCGGATTTCGACTGGCCGAGCCGCAGAAAAGAAACCACCTTTCTTCACCAAAGTCTTGGCAACGCAATTCCTATCTCATCGGCTCTCTACCTTTTCGTGGTAGAGCATGGGTTCTGGGCACCCAGTTGCAAACTGGCTCCAAGAAAACTGAGACAGGACTTGTGGGCACTGGGACTGGGCACAAAGGTTGGTTACAACGAAGAGAAACCGCATGGAGCTCGCCCAGGGAACTGGGTTTGCAAGTCATAGTTTTTGCTGGCGCCAGTTTGCAGCTGCATCCAAATTGCATTTTTATATTGTTTTATATTGTTTTATATTGTAATACCGAGATTGAATCGAAACAATTCCTGAGAAACTATTGCCCACTGAATTGGCAAAAATTGTTTTATGGAGAACCCCAGAGTATGAAATTGTTGATTTCAGATTAATAAATTGGGCTGTCCTCAGATCCCCTGCTAAAAGTTTAACTGTTAGTGCGTTAAATGGAACCCCCCCCCCAAACCCTAAAACTCTAAAAGCTAAGGGGATGGCTGGGAGCCACCAAGAAAATGTTGACCCCAGATCAATAAACCCATCCCACTAACAGGGGGGTGTACCGCTCCAAAAGTGGTCTGATTTCCCCACTAAACCAGGGACACCCCCCTAGTAATTTGCCTTGGTTGACGTTGGAAGGGGAGCAAATAATTAAATATTAGCAGTTAAGTAGGGGTTTTCCACCAAACCACAATAAGCAAAAATGTAAAATGTGTCCCAACAACAACCATGATGCAGGGGTGTATTTCATGCGGGGTCAACATTACCCCATTCTTGTGCCCGCAAGGTTTGCTCTTCCACGTCGGGAAAGTGGAGGCTATGTTCCCAGCGAACATGTTTAACCCAGGTTTGTCCAAAGAAGCATTATCTTTGTCAGTTCCCCTTTTAAGCATGGTCAAGCTCTGCTCAAACAAGTATTCCCAGCTTCTTCTTGCGGCCAGCCGCACAAACAGCGGCTTCGAGTCCCGAAGCTCCGAAGAAAACATTGGCCGAGGCCGAAGCAAATGGCTGAATATGTGGGATCCTGGCATGGCTTGACAAATTTGGGAAATTTGCCTACCGCGAGATGCCCTTCAGGGTTAGCCATGATCCAAAGCCTCAAATAAGATCACTGCAAGCACCCGACAAGACTATAGCAGGAATCGACAGAACCAAACACAAAAGGCGAAGTTGGTGTTCGACAAACAGGAACCGCCCCGCCTGTTCACTCACTTTCCGAGTGGATTGGCCAACAGAACGTGACCAAACTGTTTATTCACTACTCAACTGGTCCAAACCCTTCCATTTGCTTAAGCCCCCTGGAAAAAAGACATATCTCCAGTAGTGCTAGCTTTCCTCTAAACACCAGCAAGGGAAAATAACACACATTCAAGTTTCAGCAAATGGAAAGTGACTTCCCCGAGTGGCTGAGGTCCGAACAGTGGCGCTCCCCCGCGGAGTCCCCACTTGTGGCCTGAACTGGAACTTCACGCTGGGAATCACCACGTCCACGCCATCGTCAATATCGGAGGCCGACACCTGGCAGGCCAGCAGTGAGCCCGGCGCGACGTCCCGTTTGGAGCGAACTGTTCGACCAAATATGGAAGTTCCCCCCACGAAACCAGCGAACCAAACAAAACCCTAAGAGCTCTTGCCTAACACTAAACAACAGTAAAAGCACTAAAGGCCTACACACAACAGATCTAGGGAACCGGATGGCTGATTGAACGCTCCCCAAACATAGGAAGTGCACCTAGGTCTTCCAGTTTTCGAGGTTAGAATAAGTTGGTACCAACTTTCTTCTGTACTCTATTTTAGTAGGGTCCCGGACCCTCGCGCGAAAAAAGGGGAAAAAGGGCACTACGGGGGGACTTAGGCACTTCAGCTAACCCTTGGTTTGGATGGGATCTGACCTTGAGGGTAAATGGGAAGCCACCCCTGACCTTCGCTCACCACCAACGTCCTCGCACGTTGCTCCCGTCCCCTGCCAAAAAAACATATGTGATAGAATCCCTTTGAAGCCAGCAAAAACTTGCGGGATGCTTGAGGTGTGGGAGTAAACCTAGGAATTCCCTTGAAAGAAAACTCGAGGTCATTCATTCCCTGCTGAAAAAAACATGAAAAATCAGCGAATGGAAGTCGTCCAACAGGATGGACATGAGTTCGATACGAGGAGGGCAGGAGGAGGGAGGGAGAGGAGGTGGAGGTGAGGAGAAAAGGGGGGGTGCTACAAACTAATCACATGGGTCAAATTTCAATCCGTTCTGTTCCTTCTAGTTCCAACTACTGAACATAAAACGATTTGAAAGTCTCAACGGTTGATGCTGAACAACCTGGAGTTTCCACAAACTCTTAAGCACAAGTGAGTACTGCGCACAGAATGGTGTGGTAAACACCACCATTCTAACGCTCGTGTTGGAGCCAATGATTTTGCAGGGTAGCCGCGTGTTCATGTGCAGCTACCGGAAGGGACGAGTGACGCGCGCTGGCTTTGGTTGTGACCATTTTTGGATTTACCTGAACCCTCGACCAAACCAAAAGCCCAGGTTTCCCCAACGCTGCAACCCCTAACGCCCGAAAAACGCGATGCTTCCAACCAATCCGATCTGATCAAACCAAAAAACGAACAGCTGTTGACGGAAAAGCAAGGGGGCAGCTTTTGAGGTAGGCTTTTCCAGCGGCTAACTCAAAAAACAACTGCCCTCCTCACCCCCTCCCCTTACGCCCAGAACAATCCACAAAGCTTGGCCGAACAAATGCAACTACAATTAAATTTCGCCGAAGGTGCGGACGAAACGAACTCGAAGGAATCCGCACTGGCTTCCGAGCGAGACATGGTCGAAGCAAGGGAGGGGTAATGAGAAGAAATGGTTTTTCTCTTTGGACAAAAGTCAAGAATCTTGAGCCAAAATGGCAGGCCATTTTGACTCATATTGTTAATTTATAAAATGGCACCGCTACGCTCGTGCACTAGAAACCTCTTGAGCCTGGCAACGAAGGGGGTCTATTGACCATCCTGCTTCTTTTTTGCCCCGTAAGAAACCTGATAGGCCGCAAGTATTTTCAAGGGCTACGCAAACCCGGTCGATCCATTCACGATAAGCAAGGGACCACCCTTAAAATCAAAAATTGAAAATAGCTGGTTACCTACTATTTGGGTTACTGACAGAAGCATCTCACTATTCCCGCTACGTCCCTTTGTCCGCAAACGAGCTGTGTCATGCTGCGGATGAAACAAATGGCCTTGAAGATGCGCCTGTCGCCCTTTGCTTGTCACAAAATTGTGACAGGAGGATCCCCAAACAATGGTGTGGGTTTTAATGTATTGCTCTTTCGCCCCCTGGAAAAAAACGAGCAAACTGTGTCCAGTAGTGATAGATATGCCTTTCAAACCGACAAGGGGCAACAAACAACTACTCATTTCCGCAAATGGACGTTCTCTTGGTGGTGTCCCTTTCAACTAAAGCAAGACCACGCCCAAACTTCCGTTTGCTTTTTCGCCCCCTGGGGGGATAAAAACAATACTTCTAGTAGGGAAATCGATTCCCTTTAAAACCAACACAGGAGAAAAACTGGGCCCCCGCAAAAAGTGACTCACTTTTAGTGGCTTAAATACGGAATAAAACTAAAAAGCTACAAAACCAAAAAGCTAAGTTGCCCTGGATGGCTGAGGAACTGCATGGCTGGTTGAGCCACCAAGAAACATAATCAAAATTCAGCAAATGGATGCAACTCGCTGATCCTTGAGAAGCCATCAAAAAGCGATCAACAACCCAGCAGGGGAAACGGATCCGGCTTTTTGAAAAGAACGATGGTTGAAAAGAATGGACAAGGAATCAACCCCCAAGAAACATATATATATATATACACTTAAAAAACAAAAAAACACATGGATGCAAATCGCTGATCGTTGAGCACCTCGAGAGTGAGGTAGGTCCTCTTGGCCGAGAGTTTCTGCTTGGTGATCGTCTCCCAGAGGTCCGTGATCTGGCAGCCGCGAAATGTTCGGGCAGAAATCCGGTGGAAATCTGCGGGGATTTCCGAAAATAGAGAGAAACCTGAGAGACCTTGGAAGGCTGGTTTCGAGGGTACCTTTTTTTGCTTTGATAGGGGCACCAAAAGGAACACCACCATGATATATATATATATATATGTATGATTTTAGGAGATCACCATGACACACACATATATATATATATACATACACACATACATACTACACTAGAGATGCACACATTTGGTGAGGAGGTCACCTAAAACAAAACGACACCCCCAGGTTTGCCTTTCAACAGGCGCGTGTCACAACGCAAGGGCCTGCGCTGAGACCCCAGTTGCAACCAGTGGGTTGCTTCCTCCCCTTTAAAGTCAAGCAACCCAAAAAGGATGCCGATCCTTTTTTCCCTATAGGAATCCACTGGGCATCCGAAATCAAGCAACCGGGAAAGTGAAGGGGGAGCCTTTGCAAAGGTTGGGATCAGACTGGACAAGAGTCAACTCGTTTCTGGTTACCACTGGATTTTCTTGAGATGTCCACTCAGATCTTCCAAAAAACCCAAGCGCAATGCGCGTAAAGCTCCCCTTTCATGTCCCCGGGAGCCCCCCGTAAGAAACCAACACCATCCATGGAATACAAAGGATCTGCCCAATGTTTGTGGGGGCTTGACATTTAGTGGGAGAAGAAAACACAAGTCTGCGCCAGTCTTGCTTTGTGAGAAAACAGAGCTGAAAGAAGTGGGCCGGCCACCGGCTGAGGCCAGCGCCTGCTTTGACCGCGGCTTTTTCGCTGTTTATGGATGAGCGTGAATTTCAATGAGGGAATCAGTGGTGGACACCATTTAGGTGCGGATTCATGTCCACCAACCACCCTTGAAAGCCGCAATTTGTTCGAAACATTTTTCAAACTAAAATCAACTTTTTCGCAAACCCATAGGTCACGTGATTGAGGTGGTCCCCTCTCAAAAATCACAGCATCGACCAAACCGCGTGGCTTCGCCCGCCCCGGCGAAGACGCGAAAACGCCAGCGCCTTCTCCTTGAGCCGCTTCTTGTGCGCGGGGACGTACCTCGCCGCCCCGCCCCGGATCCAGGGCCCCGCGCGCGAGGCGCCCATGGCTTCCCCGAGACTTTGCTGCTGTTGGCCCCCTCTGAGAAAACTTACCCCTGAAAACTCCAGCTGCGCAACCTGGGGAAGTTCTCATCTTTTACAGACAAAGTTGCCCATGTTGCCCAAAAAGTTGAGAGAAGTTTTGTGTTTTTAAGAGGTAAGAAAAGTGGTTTATCTAGGGGTTGACTCCTGGTTCATTCCTTTCAACCATCGTTCTTTAAAAAAAAAAACGGCTGTTTCCCCTGGGGTTCTGTTGGTGAAAGAATGGGGAAGTGTCCCCTAGAGTTTAATCGAACCCCCTTGGTTTTCCCAAGAAGTGAAAGTCTAAAGATCCAACCCAGCAGTCAAGGATAGAACATCTAAGTATGGTCAAAATTAAACAAGGGGACCCCTGGTTTGAGTCCAGCTACCATTTAGCCGGGGATGGAAGGACACATTACGGGGTTCCCATTTTTTCCCTTTTCAACATCGCCCCCGGCATAAAAGGGAGGTCTAAAGCAACCAAAAGGGGAGATACAGCTAGCCGGCTCCCCGAGACACATGGCGAGTTGCTTCGATGGAAGTATTCCATTTAGGGCCCCCAAAATGACCAGGGCAACTTTTCCCGTGTTGACATCTCATCTTTGACAGGTGGGCATTTCATGGCCATGCTAGGTAAAGGATCTTTTGATCGATCCCCATGTAGAGTACAAATACACCAGCAGGCACTGATTTTACTCATGTACCAAATGAGCTACCGTCAAAATCACTTGTCTTTGTCAAGAAGGTTTCTTTGCAGTTGCTGTTTTTGGTGGGGGCCCTATCGTTTTGCAGCGTTTATGCACATGTCTTGCGCCGTGCTGGCTTTGCACTTTGCACGTAAGCCTCAACAGCATCCAACACAAGCATGTCTTCTTCTTCGCAGTGGCTTCTGCTTCTTGGATTTTCCTTCTCTCAGCGTGACGGCTCGGAAATGGCAGAGAGTCTGCCGCGTCTGTCGGGTGTGCGTCTTTTTGAAGGTAATGTTGACCTCGGACTAATAAACCCCTGTGTATCAATATGGGTGTTCCCCTCCAAAAGTGGTCTGAATCTCCACTAAAACCAGGGAAACCCCCCCATGAATATGTTTGTTTAAGCCATTCATCGAAACTTGTTGGTTGAGCTTTACCGGACTTGATCCGAGCCTGCTTTCTTTGTCTTCACTTCCTGCAGTCTCGCACGTTCTGAAAATGAGTTCGCTTTCTGCGAAGCAGATCTCTAACATATCAACGTGGAGTCTCCTTTTGACCCTTAAACCATGGGGGCATTACACAAATTTAATTTGGTCATGACCCCATTCTTTAAGGGTCATGGAGACTTCCGGACTCAAACAAGTTTAAGCTACATGCCCAGCAGGAGAACATGGAATCGATGCAGATCTCTGGCCGAAATCCGCACGGTTTGTGGATGCTGGAGGCTGCTACTTGATGTCACAACTCCCCCTGATCTGAGAAGTTGCAGGGTGTGCTAGCTAGGCCCAAGGACATACCCGACTACTACTTTTGGGCCCCTCCCGAATTCATTCCCGGCGCACGCATTGTAGAGGCACGCGTTGCCGGAGGACATGATCATTACCTCGACTCCCACCTGGAAGCCGTGCGAGAAACTAAAGCAGAACAGTCGGTTGGATTCGTAGCAAAAATGGAAAGGGCCCCTAAGCCTTTGCTTGAAAACAACCGCTGAAAGCGAAATCAAGCCTTGGAGAATCAGGCCTTTGCGGCCAAACATACTCACAAGGCAAAGGAACACATAATTTCCCCACACGATCTGGGACAAACCATCCTTTGTCGTGCTAAAAAAAAAAAACACCATAATTTGTGTTCGCGCTCAAGCTACAAATGTGTTCGCCAAAAAACAAAAAACTGTTCACGGAATGCACGCAAACAAAACTGCCCATCGGATCTGGATGCCACCAGAAACGGCGAGCGTGTCGTGTGTGCGGGTTGGCGTATCTTCTGCCACCCACCCCTTCCCACCCACCCCTGCCCACCCCCACCCCCACCCAGCCACCCAGCTACCCAGCCACCGTCACACAAAGCCCAGCGCAGTGTGCATAGGAACTCTCCTCTTGGCATCGAGGCTTCCCCCGGTGAAATTCGAAAGGCATTTTCAGGGGGGGTGCTGCGCATGTCCCTTTCGGGTTGAATCGACCTGAGATATTTGAACATGAACATCAAACTACAAGCTCGCTGCCTGAGTGGATGGCCCAAGAAACGGTTCTCAAACTTCTTGCTTGCCACTAAAATGGCCTTTCCAACTCCGACAAAGTGGCTAAAGTTCGAAACGGAACTCGGGGAGACACTTCTGGTTTGGACTTCTCGAAATCTATTCAGGGCCCCGGTCTTTTTCTGGGTGGATAGGAGAGCCCCTCAAGTTTGTTGGCCCAACCTGACCGCACACGTTCAGGTTCCGTTTCATATTGAGTCCACTTCATAAGTGCGGCTTGTTGTTTCAGGGTACCTCGCTTTGTTGTTCTAGTTTTTGAAGGGAAGCCAAAGGAAAAACCTTTGAGCCATTTTGGGGGACCCTGAAAACATGTCTTTTTTCAGGAACATGGCTCAACTGCACAGCCATTTTTGAAAAGAGCTCCAACCATTACACGCCCGTCTTCAGAAGAAGGTAGGGCCTAAAGTGTTGGCTTCTCCGCAAAGACACAAAGAGCTGAGAGCCGTAGCTTTCAAGTGATCCAACTCGTTGGTACCAGGTTGAAGGATTTCAGGGTTGAGTCATATCAGGACTACTGGACACATGTTTTCCCCGGCGAAAAAGCAGATGGAGGATAACACAACTAAAAGGCCGGCTGAACCAAGTTGCCCCAAGGATTACCTCGACCCTTTCTTGGGGTTCAGACAAGTGAGACTTCTAAGACAGCCCGGGGAAATAGATGAAACATATGTCCATTTGCTTGATGCGTATTTTTGGATAAGACGATTTTTTGGCTTTATATAAAGGGAATCGATTGCACTACTGTTTTTTTTTTTCCAGGCTTAAGCAAATGGAAGAATAAGGTCAGAAAAACTCGTTGCGCAGAATCCAACCCCGAACAAGTGTACCCTCAAATGATAGTTTCTCAAAGCTTCCCCAATGGAACATACCGCACAAAAGTTTACTAGACATGGCACTCTAGCCGCCAAACAGTTGCAAGTTCGATTTGGGTTGAACTCATCCCTGGAAGAACTCCGCACTGGGGGGGGGGGGCAAGAACTTCCCCCTTGGGATAGTCAGGGAGATAAGCCTGATGCGAAATGTTGCCTCCTGATTGATAGCCCAAGAAGTAAGGAGGATTGGGAATATGTTCTTCCAAGGCTCGGTAGGTCCAAGGGATTTCTATCACCCCTGAATGCCCCACTGGGGTACCCCATTCTGCCGCAATTGATGGGCACAAGTGATAGCGGCCGGACAGAATATGCTCAAGTGATTCAGCCAGTAATCTAGGGGTAACTTTCAGGGATCCTTCTTTCTAGAAAACCACCAAAACCGTTTTCCTTGGTACCTTTTCAGGTTTTTGTTGCAGCCGCAGGCTGAAGCTTAAACCATTCCCTTTAAAACCAACAAGGGGAAAACAACAGTCTCAAGCAAATGGACGTTATTGAAGGGTTTAGCCGCAGGCTCGGATCCCCCAAACACCCCTGAGACAGTTTGTGGGGCGTGCTTTTAGTGGGAAAATGAACTTTGTTTGCGGGGAGTCCTGTGAAGAATCTGGTTCTCCAGTTTCTCACTTACGAGTGAATTGGCGAGAAAAAGACCAAGGCAACTTGTTGTTTACAAAGAAAAAAAAGCAACAACTAGGTCCTCCAGAGTCGAGAGGTTAGAATAAGTTGGTACCTGTTTTTGCTCCTCTTCTTCTTCTTCTGTTTTTCTGTAGCCTATTTTTTAGGGTGTTCTCCTAATCAAAAAGGGGCTGAGAATGGGCACCAATTGCTGGGGGACTTAGACAGATTAGAACTTTGAAGGCGTCTGAGATCCAACAACTTTGCGATCCAAAAACGCCTCCACCGCCAGGTGGACTTTGGGCAATTTCGAAGTGCCATTCTTCTTAGGGCTACCTTCCATGTCCATTCTTTCCCAATCCGGATCTTTCTAAACCTCCTTTGAAACCCCTGGGGAAAATGGCGATCGGTTGTTGAAAAGAACAATGGACAAGGAATCAACCCCTAGATTCTTGCGGTTTTGGTGGTGGGGGACTCCAAAGTTCACATCGGCCCAGGTGGTGATATTGAGTCCAACAGCCCTCGAACCCCACGAACGATTGAGTTCTGTCTCTCACTTCCTGAGTGGATTGGTAGCAAACAAAATATCAAACTTCTGGTTTCCACTAAAATGGCCTTTCCAAACCCAAAAAGTGTTTAAGTTTCCATGAACTCAGGGAGTGAAACAGGCTAGCAGCAAACTATTTGAGCCTCGTTTTGGTTTCCCTGGAAAGCCCTTAAAGGAGTGAGGGAGCTCTTGGCAGCAGGGAAGCACTAAAATATACTAATCCGTTCCCCCTATTAATAAAGGTCTCCCTAGCTAATAATAAATATATTTTTCCAAAGTCCCAAATCCGGGAATACTACTTTTAGAAGAGCCAATACTAAACCCATTCTAAAGTGAATGGGGGAGAGGATTAAAATGGCAAAACCGAAAAGTGGCTCAAGTTCCGGAACGGAACTTGGGGAGTGAGGAGTCAGCCTTTGATTCACAGCGTACCACTAAAACGGCCTCAGCTAGAGCCCAGGAGCTTCAGCGAGAAATCGATACGGCTGTGGCTCAAAAAACCGGGACCAAAATGAAACCCTGGTAAGTCCTGCGGTTTGCCCCTCCGATCGTTTAATTTTGAATTTTGAGCCACACCCATCTGGGGGACATCTTTTTGCCCTGCCTCATCCGTGAGGAAGTCCAGGAAGGCTTGCAGAGTGGCATCCCCCAAGCGACACTCCACCTGACCCATCGCTCGTTCGCACAAGTCGAGCGGGGGTTTGTGGCATGGCAATTCGTGGGAAGCCGAAGGCGCAAGGAGATCGAACAGAACAGGGATCCTTACATTATACAGCTGAACATTGCCTTGTAAATTGTGGTTTCCCTGTATTTTGGTGGAAAAAGCCATGTTTCAAATGGGCAAAATGTATCTTTTAAGGAGCCCTGACAGAAACAGGTCCAAAACAAACATGTGGGTGTATCTTTCGATTGTTTGGAGGGGTCCCTCCAAAATGGCTTCGGTTGTCCTTGTGATTTCCCTTTGCAAAAACAAAACTCACGCCATGTTTTAACCAAATAGCAACTTGTCTAGAAATAATTCGATCCAGGAAGCCAAAGCTGTCCAGAAAACCATCCAAAACGCAAGGGCTTTTGGCTGGTGTTTCAGAACGTGGGGAACCAACCCCTAACCAAATGAGTTGCAAATTCATAATCCTGAATTACTCAACCAATCCTCAAAGTTCAACGCTTCCCTTTGCATGTTCATGTCGAAAGAGTCTCACTGCCCTTTGCCCCTGGTCTCATGGCTATGTGTTGCAAAAGGACAACGCCACTGGTCAAGCATCTGTCCGATCAGGTCAAGGGGGGGGCCTTTCCCCACAAGACCAAGGGACGCCTCAAACATTGAAAAGTGCTTGTGGTATGGGTCCCGCTGCTTCTTTTACATTATCGAAGAATGGGGGCTAGCTACGCCAACTTCAGACTGGTTTGTATTGAAAGCCCAGGCAGGGGCCGCACAAATGGATCCTGAATCAGGTTTTGCATCTGGACACACACACACACAATATTTATATCCTCTTGTTAAAGAGCTAGGGTCGAGATTCAATTCGGGAGGCTTTTTTCTTGGAATTTGTGCTGACTCGTTTTACCAGTCACACTATCCCCGGCATCGTTTTAACATCCCCGGCATCATGTTCAACATCATCAGCATCACCAGTTCGCTTCGGTTTAGGAGCGGGTTCCAGGCTTGCTTAGCGCAAGATCGGGGGTGGGTTTACGGCTGGTTTAGCGGGCTTGGTTGGCGTTGGGCTTGTATACGTGGGTGTAGGCTTGCTTGGTTGGCAGCGCTTTAGGTACTGGGATGGTTCAGTGCTGGTTTACGGATAGCGGGTCAGGTTGGTTTAGGGTGGGTTAGCTGGTTTAGGCTGTGGTTGTGTTTAGTGGCCTCAGGGTGGTTTAGAGTTGATTTAGCGTGGCTTACGGCTGGTTTAGTGTTGGTTGCGGAGTTGTAGTGGTGGTTTAGGGTGGGTTTAGTGGTGGTTTAGGATCGGTTTAGGGTGGGTTTGAAATCTTGGGGGTTCGTTCAGGGTGTGGCTCTTAGAATTTGAAGGTCACAAAGCCGAACAACGACCCAACAAAGAAGCGGCGGGGGAGGAGGGGTCTGGAAAGCTCCATGCACAAGGAATTCCCCGCTCCCTGGTTTGTTCTTTCGGGAAGTAATATGGGTGGCTCGTCTTTTTTCGGAGCATGGGTTTCCCGTGACTAAAACCAACCAATAAAACCACTCACCAACCAGCCCCCCCACAACTGCTTTTGCCCGTGTCCAAAATTACAGGTGCGCTTGATGCAGCTTAGTGGGAGAACAATAATTCTCCGAAAACGTTGAAAAGGACACTAAGCTGATCGGACACAGGAAAAGGTTTAAACTAACCGATCAAAAGGACAGCTATGGTTAAAGATCCAACCCAGCAGTCAAGGGGCCATGGGTCAAAATCCAAATCGTACCCCTAGTGAACATCCCAATCCCCACTAAAACGGGTTCTAAAATGGGTGGTGAATTCACCTACCCCACAATGGGATCCCAAAACGGTTTTGACCACCACAGCTAAGGAATGGGGTGGTTTTCTTTTCGCACGCACCTTGTCCCAGGTCGTGAAGCCTTCAGGCTTTGCCTTGACCTCGCGCGAATTCAAGCGGACGCTCGGACCGGCAAAGAAGTTCTGCTGGCTGGCTAAAAGGGTAAGCAAGGTCTAAGGCTTAAAGTGTTCTCTGGTCAAAGGGAAACTACGGGAACCCAAAGGGGTTCAAAATCTTGAAAGGCGAGCTATAGAGCTGGGAAGTAGATGGCACGCCCCTCTCCCATGGTTTAGTAGCCGCCTTCACTTACCTTAATATGGAGGGAACACCCTGGTGCAGCGGGGAGTTGAGGTCCTGTTCTACGTCAATCCCAATCCAGAATGCTGGAACACCACTGCAAATAAAGAAACCCTCTAGCATAAGGATTAAGCAACCAATGATCTTTCACAACCCACCTTCAGCAAAAGGGAGGTCGAGTTGGGACGCGCTTGTTTGATGGCGGCTTGTCAACTGGGCAAAGCAGGCTACCGGGCAAATACGGCCACCAGCCAGAACGATTGACGAAAAAAAGGCATCCTTTTTGGCTGGTCGAGCTTTCAGGAGTCGGAACCCTTCCTGAAAAAAAAGAGAGGAAAAAACGGGCGGAATGCACTGGGCAATTGGGAGTGGGGAACACATGCGTATCGCTTGCATTCGTTCAGCTCCAAGTTGGGAACACCACAATTGCTGCATTTTGCACACACCCCTGGATTAGAGGGGACCAAAACATCTTGCCGCATCTGTTCAGGTGAAAACACGCACCGCTTCCTTTTTTCCCCGCTGAGCGCGCGGCGGGGCCCATGATGATGGGGTCGTGGTCCTTGCTCACCGTCTTCACTGGGGGCAACGGCTCAGACCTGAGACGAGTTTTTTTAATCCAAATTTCTAGGGGTTGAGTCCTTGTCCATTCTGTTCAACCATCGTTCTTTTCAAACACCGGCTGGCTGTTTCCCAAGATTTTTTATTGGTTTCCTGAAAAGAAGGATCCCTGGAAAGAATGGGGAAGGTACCCCTAGAAAATTGGCCGAAAACGAAGCCTCCAATGCCAAAAGCAAAATTGAATTTGCGGCGAATACGCTTGCTGGTGCGAGGAAATGAGGGAATGATCTTAGGAAAGAAATCCAGCTCGTGGTTTCCTGTATTGGGGAATCCCTCGGCTCATTCCCACATTCCCTACCTATCGAACCGGCAAGTAAGGGTCTTGGGAGGACAGGGCTCCATTTGTTGCCCGTAGGGATATCACCTCCAAGGGAAACTCATCAAACAAGCGCTGTTTAAAAACCAGCAAGGGAAATATAAGAACCCCGTGCGTCAGGGACCCAATAGGGCTGAAGATTTATATACAGTTAGTTGGGATGGGCACCAGTTAGTACCAGTTGTTCTCACGACTTAATTTGGTTTCAAAGTGTCCCACAACCCTATTCTAGTTCAGGGCCGTTCTGTTGCTGTGGGCGAACAACATCCAGCACCAGTTGGGATGGATGCCCTAGAAAGAGATAAGCCATCCAACTGGTGCAGGAATTTGCCCTCCAATCAGCTTCCACCCAATTGATTTGAATGGGTTTGGAGAAGTAGATTCCCAACTCGCAGTGCTTACCTAGCGCAGGGATACCCCACCTGAAAAAGATATTATATAGATTGCCGTTGCTTTGATTGCTTTGCTTTCTTCGTTGCATTGTGAGGATTCCTGAGCCGATTGAAAGGTGAGTTCGGAGCCTGAGTCCTGATGACCACAGCTCCCAGACGGATGTACATGGTGGTTTGGCAGCGAG